CACATTCCTCTATTCGTAGCAAATATCACTATTGGAGACAAAGTGGATTCCAAGGCCTTGTTGAGATATGTAAAACATTCAATATCTAATAAGTGTACCTTTAAAAAAAGGAATCATAAAAAAAAAAAAATTAAATAAGAAACTGTAAACAAAAATTGCATATTTATTAAATTGTACAATAATAACCTCGTCAATAAACAGAACTCCTGGAACTAATTCGGCAATACCCTGATCTATATACTTATTAACTACTTTGTTAATTTCTTTTCGCAACTTATCCGTGATTTCGGTCTTTTTTGGTTTCAACAACTGGCCCATCATTGACATTATGTCTTGACCCCCCTGAAATACCAATAAGATTTCAAAATAGAATTATGTGTCATAACACAATTAAAAAAATAGATAACAGCTTGCCTGAGGTCTTGCATTCGCAATATCTAAATCATTTAATGTAACATCTTGAACAACTTCTTTCTTTTTGTGGACTTCCCCTTTTGGTAGAGGTACATATTCCTCAGCTTCTAAATCAAATTCTGTAGCATAAGCATCAGATCTACCGACCCGCTAATTATGAAGATTATATTGTAAGTGCATAAAACTAGACAGAATATATAATAAAATAAGATAGATGGATATACGTGCCTTTACAGCACCAGTGTTGGCTTCAATATATATGACATCTCCAACAGTAACCCTCTCTTTTTGTATGCTTTCATAAATACTTGGATCCAATTTCAGCTGTTTTGTTCCTTTAACAGTTTTTAATCCAATAATCACTTGCGATAAAGTTTTCCCATAACCACCCAAAGGATTTTCTATCTCTTCAGGAGAAAGTTCTGTCACTTCTCCTTCGTATACTTCTTTTGTCTCCTTAATTCTCAAACCTAGATTGATGCTGAGTTATAATGTGATCATATGATATATAACGATCTTAATATGCACAGCGATAAATTACCTATCGCTCTTCGAAAATTTTCCATTAACACTTCAGTTTTCTTGACTTCAGAGGAATAAACCTCACTACCAACCATTGGACAAAAAGGAACCTTAGAACCAAGCTCTTGAGCTATCGCGAGAGCAATAGCAGTTTTACCAGTTCCAGGTGCGCCAGCTAAAAGTAACGCGCGACCAGCCATTTTTTTGGATTTAATCATATCGACAATAATTCCACAAGCCTAAAAATTAGAAAAAAATTGTAGTGCTACGAAATGAAATTACTAACGATCCGCACAACCTAGTAATACCTCTCTTGCCGACGTTTGTCCAACGAATCCGTCTGCAAGTTGAAAAGCTCTCCCTTCCTCATTTAGCCCGAGTCCTTTTATGTGTGTATGAGGAGTAATACGCTGTTCGCGTGTTGTGCTTTTTACTTCTGATATCTTCATATTTAATGGTTTTTTTTTTTTTTTAAATGAGTTTGTAAGCTAGTAATATACGTCTTTCCCTGCGTCACCATTAAAATTTTATTATCACGTGACAGTGAAATAGTGCACGAAAAAACGAAATCTTGCTTTGATCTTCCTGATCGTGTAACGTTACATCAAAGCGAGACTCGCTATTGGATTATTGGATAAGTTATCAGTCAGGGAAGATGTCACACCGCGTGAAAACTAAAACTACTCCAGTATCGCCACCAGTGTTTAATGTTCATTATAGAGAACATTAATTTTTTAATTATGTTCATAATTTTATTAGAATGTTCTCAAATATATAGTATTAAACTTTATATATGAAAACAAAAAATAGCTTTATTAAATAATTTTAGAAATGGTC